CAGAGAGAGAGAGAGAGAGAGAGAGAGAGAGAGAGAGAGAGAGAGAGAGAGAGAGAGCGGGGTCAGCTGAAAGCATCACCAGCTCCACTCCCCTTCCCCTTCCCCTCTTCTCCTCTACCCACCTAAACGTCCAGGAAGCTCTCACACACACACACAGAGAGAGAGAGAGAGAGAGAGAGAGAGAGAGAGAGAGAGAGAGAGAGAGAGAGAGAGAGAGAGAGGTCAGCCGAAAGCATCACCAGCTCCAGTCCCCTTCCCCTTCCCCTCCTCTCCTCTACCCACCTAAACGTCCAGGAAGCTCACACACACACACACAGAGAGAGAGAGAGAGAGAGAGAGAGAGAGAGAGCCATAAGCCCCTATGTCAGAAAGAGTAGCTGTTGGGCTAGGAAGCAGCGAGGGCCATGGGTTCGCTGCATCTGGCTTTTTTAAAATCAGATGAGCTACGCAGTGCACACCACGTGCCAAGAGGTGGTGCAGCACACTCCCAGCACGTGTCTGACTCATCTGGGGGCCATGGGCTCTCTGCATCTGGCCCTTTTTCAATTCCAGGCAGGAAATCGTAGGGGTTCAATTTCCACCGTTGGCTTGGAAATGGGCGAGCGGTTGTTCTTGGTTTAGAACTGGGTGAACCTCCACCGTCGGATTTCGGAATTCAACAAACAAAGAGCAATCTTAGCATCAAACAATGCCCTCCTCCCTGTAGCCCCCTCCCCTCTAACCCCCACTTCTCCACTGGCCGCCCTCTGTTGCTTCTGCGTAACCCCTATTGGGCCATTGCCATCCTCCTCTCACCTGCATTTAAAAAAAGGGCCTCACCGCACCACTGACGAAATGCACAAAAGACAAAAATTATGGCAGTGCATCTTTCTGCGTTCTAGCAGAAGATTCATTCCTATTTTGCACATTTGGTCAGTGGTGCGGCCAAGCCCAAAGGATGTCGTTCCGGACATCTGTTAAAATTGGGAGATCGAGAGAAGAGTAGCATGGGCCCTGCTCAAGGATGACACGCATAAATAAAAAAAATGGTCCAAAAAAAAAAGGGGAGGAAAAGTTTTAAAAATAAAAAAAAAAGAAAAAGGGACAATTTTAGAAATGCCCCTCCGACTTCCATTTATCTGTGATATGCCCCTCTGACGGCCGACTTGCCCTGTCGTGCCCTGCTGACAACGATTGAAGTTTCCAAAAAACCCCTACTTGCGTCATTTGGCCCTGAAATATGCTAACTATGCCCCTACCGGTGCCGGTTCCAAATTTCCAGTATGCCCCCGTAGGTCCCCTCCCAGGGCCAGGAGAATGGCCGCGAGTGCCACCAACGGCCACAGGGGTATGCTGGAAATTTGCACCCCTCAATGACAAGGGCCTGCAGGAAACTTCAGAGGCCCCAGGGGCACGACGACAGGGTAAGTCCGTCGTCGGAGTGGCATACTGCAAATAAATGGAAGTCGGAGGGGCATTTCCCAAAAAAAATCCAAAGAAAAAAGACATAGGAATTCAATTCCAGTGATTCTTTGCCTTTTGCCAAACTGTTCCATTATTTTTTATTTTTGTTTTTCCCCGGACGGGGAGAGGAGTTGAGGGCCAGTGTCAGGGACTTTTTTGTAAAAGTTCTTTACCTTTTTATTTCTCCAGACTACTACTCCTCGGGTGTTCAGGGAACCCCCTGAGTAGGAGTCTGCCAGCTTCAACGGCTCTCCCTTCTATTCATGCGGAGCTGCACCTGCTGGGGGGGTGGGGAACGGGTCCAGCATAACATGCAAGCATGATGTCCATTCTCATTCTCGCCTTTAGAGCTCAGCACCACTGGACGGGCCAGCATCTTGCTGCACTTGGTGCCTGGAGCTGTGATGCAAGCCCCCTGGCGCTTATACGAGATGAGGCGGCTCGGAGAGCAGTCGTTTTCGGGGAAGCGTACCCTGCAGCCCTTCGGCCTTGTGCACTTGGGGAAGCACGCGAATGCACGCTCGCCTTCGGCGCTCTGCCTGCTCAGATAAAACATTGGTGTTGCAAAGCGTATGTCCATGCTGCCATAGCCGGTTGGTTGGAGATGACATCAGAGGAGGAGGTTTTGTGTGCTTGGTGTTGCTGGCACCGGGCGACAGATGGTTTGGTATCAGCTGACATCAGCCTGCCTCAAATCTCCAGCACATCCACAGGTCGAACAACGCGGATTTTGTGGATTAAAATGCGTTTTGCGTTTTTTCTTTGGCTTTGTCATCAGGGGGGATTCACTGGGGCAAATGCTGGATTTTCGTTGAAATTATTACTCTGGGTCTTGCGACTCTTGCCCCACTACTACTCTAGACTCTCGAAAATTCGGCAGACTGAGTTCGGCTTATACCTCAACTAGCTTTCTCGAAATGAGCTCACGAGATTCCCACCGCGAGATGTCAGAAAACACTTGAGAAGGGCAAGGGCACTTTCGAAACATCGGGACTCACCAGCCTGCGACAAGCTATTTTTCTAGTGAGGTCCGCCGTGCCCTCGAAGGGGCCTCACTTTTCGAGTGAGGGTCCCGAGCCGTGGCCCACAGAACAGGCTGACATTATTGTTGGGTATCACTCTGGAATGCGCACTCTTGAGAATCATGAGTGCTTCTTGAGTCTCACCTTCTAGAGTTAGTGGAGTGAAGGCCGGAATTTAGCGAGTTCCGATGTTATGACAGCTCTAGCGGACTTTCGAAAATTTTCGAGAGTCTAAGGTCGCGGTGGTGCGAGACGGATTGGAGTAGCTAGTCCAACAACCGAGCACCCGGCATCTTCATGGTCAGCTATCATTACTCTCATCAGTGGAAGGATTCTCTAACGGAAATCGTTGTCAGAGTGCTGGTGGGGTGTTCAATGTTCAAACCTCGAAGTTATTGTTCTTTTCGGCAGTGGATGCACCCCCCAGCAAACTGTGTCCACATTCACTTGCAAACATGGTGAAGTGAGAGTCTACACTGCTGGGAGCTCTACGGCAGCGTCAAACATTTGTGGCTTCAAACATTTGTGGCTTGGCTATCGGCGTGCGCTACGGAATTGAATGTTTTTTTTTTTTTTTAAGGGCCAACTGCTTCTGCGTCACACCTACCTTAGCGTTTGGAATAATAGGCAACTTAAACCACCAGTACCTCGCCCAGCTATCAAGTCCGAGGCTCCTGGATAGCCCGATCATTCCCGAGCCTCGGACTTTATTGCCGAGCCTTGGACAACCAGTAGTACATCACAGAAAAATAAAAAACAAAAAAAAAGCATACAACATTCAGCAAAAAAAAAGAAAAAAGAAAGGAAATCAGTTCAAATCACACATATCAACGAGAATGAGATTCATTCTCATGAGAGGTTCACTCAGAGAGAGAGAGAGAGAGAGAGAGAGAGAGAGAGAGAGAGGGAGGGAGGGCATCAGGGAGTTTCTGACGCCGAGTTTGGTGGTCAGGGAGTTTCTGACGCCGAGTTTGGTCCACCAAACTCGGCGTCAGAAACTCCCACTCTCTCTCTCTCTCTCTCTCTCTCTCTCTCTCTCTCT